GCTCACACACGCACACAAACATGTGCGTGTGAAACCACAGTCTACAGGTACACAACAAACAACAGAGAATGCACAGAGATTCCTTCACTGACCTTTGAAATTCTGCATTCTGAGGTCTGTTGTTATCTGAAAATATTGTCGTGGATCAATCCCCAGTAATTAGGACAGTCCAACTTTACCTCACTAATGATTGTATGGTTAGTAGTACACTGGTTTAACTGGAAAAAGCAATACCACTGTAAAAGTACCATGGTCTCTTTTATCTTTCAGTTTTTTGTTTTTTTTTGTGTGTGTTGTGAATCATGCATTTCCCTTCATATTTGGAAAGATGCATTTGCATAATGAGCATACAGCAGCTGTTGTTAATCTTACCAATCCCCACACTTCTATAACAAGTGAGGCTTCCTCAGACAGGTGGCAGCAATAGCTGTGTTGTGCCAGAGTGCCGTCCAGAGGTCTTAAACACCATTCTGTCATCTTATTCTTTCTCCAGAGATGTTGCACAGCTCTTTTCTGGCACAAGCCTCAAACTTTTTCCCTTCTCTGCCATTAATGCATAATCATATAACTGCTAGTCAGACCATTCTCTAGTGTTAACACCACACTATGCAGGATGGTCTGGCTGCACCTGGTCAGGGGGGGAATAAGCTGTGGCCTGTTTGTATGTCGTTAAACCAATCACAGTTGTCTTTGATGATGCTGAAACAGGATGTATCGAGGGTGTTCCCTCAAAATAGTGACTGTGTTAATTATTATTATTTTGGTGAATCATTCACGTCCCGGTAGATCCCTGAGAGGATTACTTTATTGTACAATCCAAACTTTCAGCAAAACTTAAAATTTTCAGCGTTCAGGTTGCTGTTGTTTGAAGGGGATATTGAAAACAGAGACATCTAGATAGTAGAAGGGGAGGATATGTGTGGCCAGTCAAACATCACTGCTAAAAGAGAGTTTTTTGTAAGCTTTGACTGTTTTTGGACAAACGATACATCTTTGTCAGGTCCTTAGCTCTATAGTTTGTCTTATGTGTTTTTGTTTTGTTTTTCTATTGCTGAAAAATGTCTAGTGGTTAAACTCCAGATGCATTTATGGATTGTCAGAATTATCCGGTCAAAGGTTTCATTTTTTTATTGCTTTTATTTATGACCATTGTCCTCGCCTCCTTAAAGCTGCATTATTCAGAAATCTGTAAAAGGCAAAGAGAAAAAAACAAAACAAAAAACTGAATTTGAAAATATCCATCCCTCCTCCTGCAGCGTTTCTCTCTTCTCAGTTGTAAACCCCTCCCATCAGATGAACACATTCTTCAAATGTGCACAATAATCAAGCTAGAAGTCATCTATCATTGGTGGCTTTCACTCACAATTCAAACCCAACTGTCCTGAATGAGAATGATCCATCTTTCCTATTGTGCTCCCATATCCAACACTCCCCTCAGACTTATTCTTTCTCACCTTACATAGATTGATGCTAAAATCTACCATCACAGGGTAGATTTTTTGTGCTGTAACGTTGGTATGGTATTTCCCCAATGATGCCATAAAAACATGTATGTAGTTCAGCTTTAAAGGTCCAGCATCTACAATTTAGGGAGGATATATTGGCAGAAATGGGACATAGCATTCATAATTCTGCTTGCATTAACACATACTTAGGAAAACAGGAATCGTTGTATTTTTGCTGCCTTGATATTAGTCCATTATTTTTAAGGAGGAAGCAGCTTTCTTCCACAGGGTCATGAATCACCATCTCTCTACTGTAGCCCAGAACAGTCAAGCCAAGCACTGGCTTCAAAGAGAGCCATTTGCAGCTTTTGCATCTTCAACGCCCTCCGTAGGTTCTCCTACACACCTGATAGGTGTAGGTGAGGTGAGTTATATCCAGTTGGTTGCAATCTACAACCCCACCACCAGATGCCACTAAATCTAACACACCTAACACTGTTGCTTGGGCATGTTAGCATTCTCATTGTATGTTAACATGCCAACTCAAAGCACCACTGTGCCTTATTGTAGCTTTACAGAGCCACTAGCAGCTGCGTAGACGCTTAGCATTGTTTTTATGCCACTGGAACAAGTTTACCCACGTGTTTTACACTCAGAGTGAGAAAAACAGCTTTGTGAAACTTTAAATATGTCCATTGTACATCAGAATCAAAAATCAGAATCAGAGAAGATTTTTTGCCAAATAGGATTTCACAAGCAAGTAGTTTAACTTGGCGTTTTAGTGCAAAACAGTAAACAGTACCATAAAGATCCAAATGTGTTGCCAGTTGTATGTATTGAGTGTAACAAGATTAACTAGAAGCAGTGTTATAAGTCAATAGCAAATAACAGTAAGTGCAATAAATGGTGTTTAAAAAACAAAAAAGTAATAGAAATGTTTCAGGTGTGGATGAATGTGCAGCACTTCAAAGCAATATGTACACGAGGCCTTCTTTGTCTAATTTACATTCATTTGAATGGCAATGCAGTTGAACTAAGTCACACAATGTCTGCCTGGAACAAAGGAACTCAGCGGCACGCTTTAGAAACTGGTTGATATTTGTCATAGTACTTTGTCATTTGTTGTAAAGAAGCTTCTGAAACATTAAAATGCTGGCATTGTTCTTTGACAGTGCAAACAAGTTTTTCTTTGTGTCTGACTCATCATGACTGGTACAAATTGCAAAACAAAGGCAGGGATTTGCAGCCGCTACAGATCCTGTAAGATAATCGCAGCTCAGTGCTGGACCCTGTCAAATGCTCGGAGCAGTTTTTACAAAAGCGTCGAGAATTTATAGTATTAGAAAACATGGCAGCATGAAGAACAAATGTCATTACCTATGTTTGTATTTCTCCCTTTGAAGTTTTTTTACTCGTCCTCCTGGGCTCTCAGTCTTAATGCGAGCGAGCACTGTGGTGGCAAGGTCTGTCTAAATATAACTCCACTTGACAACAAGCTGGAACAGTAGATACCCTTTTACTTTGAAGAATTCCAATTACTGTCACTGTTTCCTCAGCGTATGTGTGTCTGTGTGCGCAATGTACATGAAACTGAGATCTGTGTCTGTGTGTAATGTATATTTATGTATGCATGTGTAAGTGTGAGTTCTCCTTGTAAACTGTAATCCAAGCACTTTACAACTCCAGCGTTTGCTCGATAGCAGCATGTGTAGCTTGGGCAGAAATATTTTAGCATTTTTATTCAAAGTGGTGTAAAGTCTGTTGTGATAATTACGCGCCAGAGACAATGTATTCAGAGGCAACAATGACAGTAAGATGGAAATTATGATGCGGCCAACATGTCCAGTGATTTGCCTCTATCCTGCGTCAGTGATACAGTTTGGTCATACGTGCAACCAATCAGTCACATGAATTGCATAGTGTTGGTGTTAAACTATTTTACATTCAACTCGCTTCAGTGGAGCTCATCTCTGAGGGCTGTAAAGAGAAATTTAGATCCAACTAGGCACCAATAAAAGGATGAACTCTGCATCACCAGGACAAAGAATAAAAAAAATGGAAAAATAAAACAGGGGATGCACGTTTTTTGTGTATCAAACTCCTACATGTTTCACTTGAGCTGCCTTGGATCAGAGGCCTTTTCGGATCAGGCTGTGTTGATTCTGTAGAGCAGCAATTCAATGTAAACCCATGAGTTATTTACTTCAACACACTGTGAATGCACCACGAAATCAATAAACACCAACTACAACAAAGAAGTGAAACAGCAGTAACTTCTCGGTGTAGTCCAGCTAGCTTGCAGTAAAAATGTTTTTCCTACCCCGGTTACGTATGTAGCCTCAGTTTCTCCTTATTTCTTCTGACCCCGCTGTTGATATTGGTTTTGTGCAGAGACAAATCTTTGCAGCCCAGTGAAAGGTGGGTGGGTAAATCACCGGGGATCACTGGAGCGATGCACAATGTAGAACTCCTCATAGGGCAATCTGTGGACTATCCGGGATACATCACAAAGGAGCCAATGTGGATTCAATTACCAAGCCAGCAGAGAGTGCAATTTATATCCAAACTCTGGGGCTTGGAAGATGGACGAGGTCACGGTACAGTTTGTAATTAACGGTTAACCCTTACTGACCTTTGAGTTGTGATATACAGTGCAGACACAAAAGCGCTCATGTCAAGCCACCTGCCTTGGGGAGGTTGCACATTACGTATATTGATTATGCTTAAACTATGACAGCATAATTAAACAGTGTCTCTGTGAGCTTGCGTCCGCCACACATGCGCACAACGCGTACCGTAGGTTAAAAATGATTGATCAGTGATGAGACTCGAGGAGAAACAAGCAGTGTTTAGTCCAGCATTTGGGTCCTATGTGTGCAATAGAAATCTCACGTTTCTTTCAAAAGACAAAACAGGATTCATATTCACATATCTCCTTCCTATAATGTAATCTAGATAGTGGTATAAATACTTCAAACTATATAAACCATTACAGTGCAGGGAACTTTAGTTGTTTAGTAGTGCTTCTGTTACAAATGTGATTTTTTTTTAAATTTTATTTTTACACATGATAGCCAGAGAACAAAAATAAACCTGTACAGTTCCACGAGAAATACATTTTTGATTTTGCAACAGCTACAAAAATGGCAACAACATAATAAATAGGACACTTTATTATTTTTTTCACTGTAGGTTTCACTTATTATCGCTGTAGAGATAATAATAAATGAATTCTTTAAATTTTCTTTTGTGTGAGCCGTTAAATCATGTCATTTATAGCAAATCTGTTCTGTATTCATTGATTTTAATTTGTTTGATTTCTATGATAGACGTAGTAAGTGGTTGCAGTTCATACAAATGTTGGTTTATACTTTATGCCTGTTTGCTTGAGAATGTGTTTAACGCTCAGTGTAGAAAAAAATGTGTGTATAGTGTGTATATTATACACGATGCTGTATGCAATGGCTGTCTCTAACTGATATGTTATTTATTTTTAGTGAGCATGAGAATTTGCTGTGTTTTAACAAAGTGTTCAACTTCTCTTTCTCTCTCCAGGTTTTACTGGGATTTGACCATGCTGCTTCTGATGGTTGGCAACCTCATCATCATCCCCGTCGGCATCACATTCTTCAAAGACGAGCACACACCCCCCTGGATTGTGTTCAACGTGGTCTCCGACACCTTCTTCCTCATGGACCTGGTTCTCAACTTCAGGACGGGTATCGTCAAGGAGGACAACACGGAGATCATCCTGGATCCGCAGCAGATCAAGATCAAGTACTTGCGGAGCTGGTTTGTGGTGGACTTCATATCCTCCATCCCTGTGGACTACATCTTCCTCATCGTGGAGACGCGCATCGACTCGGATTTCTACAAGACGGCGCGCGCCTTGCGGATTGTCCGCTTCACCAAGATCCTCAGCCTGCTGCGACTCCTGCGCCTCTCCAGACTCATTCGCTACATCCACCAGTGGGAGGAGGTAAGAAGCTTCACCTCAGTGTCTTAAACTGTACAGTTGTTCTCAGTGTTGCTGATATATGATGTGTGTGTGTGTGTTGTGAATTGTCTTTTATTAAAACCAGATTCACACAGAGACATAAAAATGAGAAAATGCCAAGAAAATTGCAGCAGTTGACAATCATGCAGGAATACTGTTTGATGAAGCTAGTCAAACACGTAGGGTTTCACTTCCTAAATCCAATTATAATCTAAATGGTATTCCCATCCTGGGGATCTACTGCAGGTATGTTTGCTGAGCCCCTTTTTTTTCCCTCTGGGAAGGAAATATGGATAGATGCTGCTTCTGATTGCAACCACCCTTGAAAGGAGTGAAGAGGCTCTTTTTGCCGTACACCAGCCACCAATAAGTTGATGAAGCTGCCATGTTGATTAGCATTTTCTCTCTGTGTGCCCATCCAGCTAGCAGTGGGACCGCAGGGCCCAGAGAGGCAATGCCGCAGTACAAGCATGATTATAATTGCGGCAATAATTAGAAAAGTTCCCATTGCTCTCACTGGATGGATCTTGTTGTTTAGTCTCAGAGGAAGAAGGTGCAAAGTGAAGCATCAGAATCTCAGCATGGAGTCAACAAGAAGAATATCCACCAGAGGATAACATGGGACAGTCAGGGCAGCAACAAGATAATGTTTTCAGACTGAGAGGAGCAAGCACTTGTGTGGTCCGGCCAAATGGGAGCCGGTCATATATGCTGGCCAGTGACCAAATGAGGGAAAACACTGGATAAGAAGAAGTAGGAATTGGACTGCTGTTTGTCATTCCACACATTCTCCCTACAGATAACAAACCCCCCTGACAAGCTTGTATTTCCTGAAGGTGGTGGCAGTGCAAGGTTGAGGGTTTAGTTCAGGGTTTAGTGTTTCAATAAAGAGTACTTTGACAGAATCAGCGTGCACGCTCATAATACAGATGGCAGCACTGCGTCGCTGCAGTACATGCCGGGAAAGGCAATATTTTCAGCTACAAGTCAGATTGTGTACCTCCGGGCTTAGCAGCCATTTAAGACATGCAATCAGTGTATCACATGAAAATACTGAGGTGTAGCTGATCTCCACAATACTGAATTATGTGTCTGAGTGTATTTTGCAGCAATAACACTGGAGTCCAGATACCATCCATCCAATCATAAAATAACTTTTTCAAATTTTATTTTTATGAAGGAAATGGAGATAAATCAATTTTGTTAGTGGAACCTGTTCATTTCAGTATACTTTCAGATTTAATCTTAGAATCATGTAAAAACATACATGCTACAATAAAAAAGGCAACATTTTTGTTTCAGTTTCACCTAAATATTTGATGTCCAAAACGGTTAAAGTGTGTAAAAGTAGAGCCAGTGATAGAAAAAATAAATTTAGCACTATTAGCGTGGAAGCAGTTTTACCTTGGGACCTTGTTATTAAAAAGTTACCCCTCTAAGTCTGTGTTATATGCAGTGCATTCACACAGAATAAGCATAGGCTGTGTTTTATTCTGACGCTATCCCAATATATGATAATATTAGGCTGCCACGTAACTGTTGAGCCTGCTGAAAGACAGCAAAACGCTCCTAGCTGCATGCTGCCGTGCATGTTGTACTTCGAATCATCCTTTGAGATTTTGCTCTTCTGATGGGTTTGAGCTTTCTATTTATGGATCTTCATACTTTGGCAAAAACTCAGAGATCCATGGTAGTTTCACTTTACAAATTGCGGACATGGCACATTTGTTCAGGATTAAGATCACAGACAGCCTCCACAATCACTACAAATTACAAGAGGTCCTCAGGTAATACTAGTCCTGTGCCAATGGGACTTTGTGTTTTGCTGTGATTTATTGACAGAGAGCTCCGCTGGGCTTCAGTATGACAGAGAATCATAAAACAACAATTTGTCTTCAACAAACAATAACTTCAGATTGAGTCAGTGGTTGTCTCTCTTCATAGCATCACAAATTAGAGATCTTTTCTTTTATTTATGAAATGCAGACCAGTGCTGTTTATTATAGAAAAGGCTCGTGTCACAGGAACAGTGTGTACGATATTTTCTAGCATTAAGTTCACGTTGAACTGACATCACATCCACAAAAATGCATACCAACAACACTGTATTGCTATCCATTAAGTAGCCCGTTTGCACAATGTTGTCATGAAACGGCACCACTCAGTTAGCTGGTGGGTGTGTTCACCTGAGTGCACGACATTACACGGACAGCTGGAAAGGTTGAATAGCGAGCTGATTGCCAATCAAACCACAGTTTATTCAGACCTGCCCACTGGCATTCAATAAAGTTGCTGGTTTTCCAATATTCAGCTGGCATTCTGAGTAGAACAGTGTATATAAGTGTGGTGACATTAATCATGCAGAGCCTCTGTGATGCCATTTCAAAGAGAGGAAAAGTTCAAATGAATCACTGGGGGAGAATCCCTTTGCTGCCCTGTGTCTGCTTGCATACCTGCTGCTGTTCTTCTGAACCCAAAATGAAGGCAGGGATTCATGTAGTTCAGGCCAAGCGTCATTTGAATAGAGCGGATTCACTGACAGTGGGCTGTCACATGTCCGGCCTGTGCCAAAAAGCAACAAAGGAAGAAGGGAAAGAGGAGGAAACGATAGAAGAAGGGACTAAAGAGAGATAAATAAAGAAGTGGCAGTAGTGCCTGCTGAACGAGCTTATAGCTATGGGCCATTGTTTGAGTTTCATCGAGCACCACTCCAGACTAGTATTCTGTTTAAGAGGGAGAGGAAAACAGAAAGACGGGAGGAAAACAAGGAACAATGATTCATATTCATGTCATTAAAAAAAAGAAAAAAAAAAAAACTTGCAAGGACATTGCAGGACGGCTCTGACTGCGGCATCTGAAAGCCGACGAAACAATACGACAAAGAGAGGGGACACTGGACTCACGGAGCCAGCTGCCATTTACATGTTCTATCCCTGTGTGGGCGGTGTATGTGTGTGCGAGGGTTTGCTGATGAATGCTAGTTAGGCAGACAGAGTGAAAGGCCAGCTTTGCCTCAGTGCCAGAGTACTCCAGATGCAACCTCACAGAAATGTCATCTGTCACTGCAGAATAACTTGTCGCCAAGATGTCACCACCTGACTGACTTTTTGACTTTTCCTATTGACAGCTACACTTCAGACAACGCGTATATATCTCACCGCCATTTGAATATAGCGGTACACTTCACGCTGACCTCACTTCGGTCTGTTGCCTCACCTACACGCCGAGCGTCGGGGAGAAACTAATAGAGGGAAACGGTGCTGTTTGTGTTTTATTGGATTCCTGCTTTTTCATGAATAAAAACACAGTAATAAACAAAAGAGCACTCATAAAAATGCATTCTATTTACACCGAATTGAAGCCGCATCCTCAATGACACAGTGTAGTTCTGAACTCCTGCAAAATCACTGAATGCCATTCAGCATCGCTCGCCACTCTAAATATGGCGCCGCAACCAGACGTGTACTTGTCTTACACGGCAGAAGCTGCAGATCTGCGATGTCCCGATGTCCTCCAAAAGACAACGCTGATTTATTTCACTCACATTTCACAAGTATCTGCAAGTTATAAATAGTCCCACACAAACTCATTTGGTTTATTATTGTTTGATTTTCATTTCCTCTTCCGTAAGAAGTCACGGAGAGGACACTTCTTTTGGGAAGTGTTGAACACAGCTCACTGAACTCTGCTGCATGGTTTAACGCCTCGTAGAGCGATACTGTTGGGAACAAAGTTTTAAAATTAGAATCGTTTTTCCCATGTACTGAAGTGCTGCGAAGAAAGCTCTTTAGGAATCCAAGACAAGACAAAGGAATATAATAATATCTAATGTACCGAATCGACGGAGATGAAATTTATACCAGACGGGAGCCTAAACGCATTACAGGTGAAGTGACTGAGGCGTGTTGTCAAAGATTTAAGGGATGTGTGTTCTGAAGACATCAAAACTAGATTGATACTTAACCAAATTACTTCTGGACAAATTCCATAAAGAAACCATTCAGAAGGTGACTAAGCCAATCATTTGCTGCTTCACATCCTCACTCGAAAACAAATTGCGCCACCGTGACCTGCGCTCTCATCGTAATAGGCCGGTCGGACACGTCATAAATCTGTTTCATAATCCTTTGGGGACAGTTAGCTAACTCATACACATAGTGATGTCCTTGGTCGTAGATTCAGTACATTATAAATGAAATAACAACGGGCTGAATCTAACTGATGGCTCCACAGAGGGGGAAAAAACAGAACGTCGTTTTCAGAGGTCACCCTCGCTTTGGTTTCATGAAATTGCATTACGGGTCAATGAATTAGCTCTGATGTGTAGATGCATATGCATGGACAAATAATAAAGGTCTAGAGCAAGGCAAACAATATGCATACATTGCAATACATGTATGCGTGTTAGTTGTGTTGTACTGCGTGTGTGTTTGCATGCTTTGGCGAGCTTTGATGACATGGACTATAATTGCATGTCCTTTGGAAGAATATACTGCTCTGGTAGCCTGAAGCTCAGACATGTTGGCACATAACCACAAACTGTTGAAGTGTCCTTGAGCATGATTCTTGACCCCTAAACTGTTCCACCGGGTCTTCCCAGAAAAGACAGCAGAGGGGATTGTGGGTCAAAGCAGAGCTGCATACTTTTATGAATTGTCATCACGGATACTGGAGCGCAACGAATGATGATGAGGACAGAGTATGAGTAGTTTCCCCCCCCCTATACACACACACACTTTTTCCACTTTTTTGGGTGGAACTACTAGAAATGAAGTCAAGCCAATTTGCCTCAAGGGGCTTTACAATCTGTACAGCGTGCAACATCTTCTATCCTTAGACCGTCGATTTGGATAAGGAAGAACTCCCCCCCGAAAGAGCGTTTAATTGAAAGAAAATACTACCTCTAGAGGAGCAACAGAGTAGGGAGCCCTCTGCCAGGACAGACGAGACATATAATAAATGGATAAAACAACACTGGAACA